CCTAGAATTCCTGAGCCAGCCATACTGAGGGAAAAGGGAGAGGTTTCCAAGCTGAGCCATGCTCAGGAATTCTGGGAATTGAAGTCCACGAGTCATAAAAGAGCCAAGGTTGACTACCCCTGTTCTAGAGCAAGGTCCCCAACCTTCCCTGCTCTGTGGACCAGCGGCGGCGAGGTAGGGAGAGGGGATTGGTTTCGCGCGTGCACACGCCACTTGCACCAAGGCAGCTTCGCACGGGCACACTCGCCTGCCACTTGCGGGCCCAGTTCCCAACAGGCCATGGCCTGGCACCAGGCTGCAGACTTGGGGCGCCTATTCTAGAGTCATCTTTTCCTAGAGAATGAAAGGCTGCTTTATTCTCCTCCAAAAACTGTCAGATTAAAACTTTTTCTTTTAAAAAAAATAGAAGTATTATAAATACAAGTAACCATACTTTAAAAAAAAAGTCCCCTCCTTCTTCGTGCAGTCGCTTAGGATTTGAGTGTTGCCAATGAGTCGTTCTGCTTTCATTGGTAGTTTTGCCATCTTCAAGTATATAAAAAGTTCAGTAACTTATTCTGCAACACAATTTGGAATTTATACAAAGATCCTAGCTTTGCACGAAGCTGACCATTTTCTACTTGTTGCAGGAATTTCAGCTCCCCCCCAGCTTCCCCTACTCCCATTAAAAATCACACTTCTGGCAAAAGGTAGCAAACTGAGAGTCTCAGTATATACCAAGATGTCTTATTTGCTTTACCACAAAGGAGATGGAAATATGGATCAGAAAAGCATAGCTGCCAAAATCAGATGTGCAAATATGGACATTTTGTATACGCCCTTTCCTCTATGGCGGAGGGCAAAGCAAACGAAACAGCGCCCGATGACCCAAAACTTCCAGTGCCTGCTTTTTGTCTTGGAAAGCCTTGGCTTTCTGAATAAGTGCACAGAGGTAGCTCAGCAGCTCACTGACAATATATTTCCTGAATTCCAAAGAATTAAAAAAAGAGAGAGAATTACCAGCTTCTTTGCACGGACAACTCTAAAACCATCAGATTTTTCTCTGCCATTCTACTTCTGCGTTGAACGACATGAAAAAAGGTGATACAGAAACGCAGCAATAACAACCCTCTGCGCTCTCTCCTTGCTACAGACTGAGAAACAAGAATCTTGCAAGCATCCAGCTACCAAATGAAAATTTGACTTGGGTTCTCAATATATAAGAGGCTGCTTCCTGGAAAGATGCTAGGGCTGATTAGTTTCTAGACGCTGTTTAGTTCTGGCCAATTAGGACACACACTCCCTTTATAAGGATGACAGAGAAAATTCTGAGGTTTGCAAGGTTTCTACAAGCATCAGCCATAGCTGAGCAAAATAAGGAGTTGGTACAACAAAACCAGTGGTTTGCCCTACTGCTTAAAAAGCCATGCACTACACTTGAGCTGGAATGAATTTTTTTTTTTTAAAAAAAAAGTGGGCTGCCTATAAAATCAATCTGGGTTTAAACGCCAAGTCACCATTTCACCAGGCACAGTAGCCAGACTCTTTTTTCAGATTTCAAGCTTGTCCCACCATGTTTTGAGGCTCTTTGGGTTGCAATTTGGATGCTGGGAGTTCCAAGCCTGCCCATAACATGGGCTCAGCTTTCCTCATGGTGAGCTCAATCTTTGTAGCGGTCATATTTACGTAGCTTCTTTTCACATCAATCACCTGGAAGAGGAAAATAGCGGATTCAGCTCAAGCAGTAAACTGGGTGGCTTATGGGCCCCCTTAAATGCGATATGTTCAGTGGGCAATTATAGTATCAGTACATGATAGTCATTATTAATAATAATAATAATAATAATAATAATAATAAATAATATTAATAATAATAATAATAATAATAATAATAATAATAATAATAATAATAATAATAATAATAATAATAATAATAATAATAATAGTAATAAAGTTGGAAGGGACCTTGGAGGTCATCGACTCCAACCCCCTGCTCAGGTAGGAAACCCTACACCATTTCGGACAAATGGCTGTCCAGTCTCTTCTTAAAAACTTCCAGTGTTGGAACATTCACCGCTTCTGGAGGCAGGTTGTTCCATTGGTTAATTGTTCTAACTGTCAGGAAGTTTCTCCTTAGTTCTAGGTTGCTTCTCTCCTTGGTTAGTTTCCATCCATTGCTTCTTGTCCTGCCTTCAGGCACTTTGGAGAATAGCTTGACTCCCTCTTCTTTGTGGCAGCCCCTGAGATCTTGGAACACTGCTATCATGTCCCCCCTCGTCCTTCTCTTCGTTAAACTAGACATACCCAATTCCAGCAGCCGTTCCTTATATGCTTTGGCCTCCAGTCCTCTAATCATCTTTGTTGCTCTTCTCTGTTCTCTTTCTAGAGTCTCAACATCTTTTTTACATTGTGGTGACCAAAACTGGATGCAGTATTCCAAGTGTGGCCTTACCAAGGCATTGTAAAGTGGTATTAACACTTCACGTGATCTTGATTCTATCCCTCTGTTAATGCAGCCCAGCACTGTGTTGGTCTTTTTGGCAACTGCAGCACACGGCTGGCTCCTATTTAAGTGATTGTCCACTAGGACTCCAAGGTCCCTCTCACAGTTACTACTATTGAGCAAGGTACCCCCTATACTATACCTGTACATTTGGTTTTTCTTGCCTAAATGTAGAACCTTACTTTTTTCACCATTGAATTTCATTTTGTTAGCTAGCTATAACTTCAAAAAGAAGCTTCTTAGTTCAAGTTCCTCAAATCTGGGGGGGGGGGGAAATCCAGCTTGTACACATGACTCAATATTACCTTTGAAATAATTGTGCATAAAATGAACACAGGCAGTCCTCGACTTACAGCCTAGTGACCGAAGCTACAATGGCACTGAAAAAAGTGACTTAGGACCATTTTTTTCACACTTATGACCACTGCAGCATCCCCATGGTCACGTGATCAAAATTCAGACTCTTGGCAACTGACTCCTATTTATGACGGTTACAGAGTCCTGGGGTCACATGATCACCTTTTGCGGCCTTCAGACAAGGAAAAGCCAATGGGGGAAGCCAGATTCACTTAACAACGGTGTTACTAACGTAAACAACTGCAGTGATTCACTGAACAACTGTGGCAAGAAAGGCCGTAAAATGCAGCAAAATTAACAACGGTTTCACTTAGCAACAGAAATGTTGGGCTCAACTGTGGTCATTAAGTCGAGGACTATCTGTTCTTGGCAAACGAAGAGGGTAATTGGAAATTTTGCTCCCAAAATATAAAAACAGGAGACTGGTAACAGCAGTTTTGAATGCTTATCTATATTTCTGAGATCAATAAGCAGTTACGTATACAATCTACCCTAAATGTCACCGTTTTATATCAAGAGAGTCAAAGGACACCGTGCTAGGTTTTTAACTCATTTTCTAACAGGTTGTGCTTGTGAGGAATGAAAAACTGATTCACCGGTGCCATACGGAATTTTTCAAATCACCCTTTTAATAATGACTTACGTGCATAGAATCCATTCATCAACCACCTACCACAACAGTCAACCAGACTTTGGCATTTGCCTATTTCTTAAAACTCAATCACACCCCGTTAGGAAAGTCTGACAACAGAATCCATAAAAAAGGCTTCAAGAGAAACTTGAAAATTTGTAGCAGAATTATGTACTTACACCCCATAAATTCAGATTCTGACTGAACACCTTATCGCCTTCAAACACAATGTGGATATTTACCTGCAAAAGAAAGGAAGGTTTATGCAATAAAATAGAAATGCATGTTTACTCACATTTATCCAACCAGGTCTATTATTACTACTTGGAAATAACCCTTCCCTTTAAATATATGAAAGCAGTGTTTCTCAGCCTTGACCAGTTTCTCAGCCTTTTCCCAGAATTTCCCAGCCAGTTGAAGTCCGCCCATCTTCAACTGGCCAAGGTTGAGAAACACTGTATGAAAGAAAAACAGAATTTTCAATTCTTCAACCACTCTTTACAAAACTTCATTTCTAGATTATCCTGCTGCCATTCTCTGAACTTGTTCCCATTTCTCTGAGTCCTTCTTAAAGCATGGTGCCCCAAACTTGATACCACCTCAGATAATCAAATAAAACATAGTGAAACAGAATGATTAATCCCACAGTTGGGAAATTGTGTATCGACTGATGCCTTGTAAAATTGCATCTGTCTTTTTCGCACCACTGGCTCATATCCAATTTGCCAATCGCCCCGATCTCTTTTTCACAACTGCCATCATTAATCCAGTATTTGCCACCTTGTTCCCATGTGCTAAATTTCTAAGAATGCTGTATTTGCTTCTATTATATTACATTGCTATTTTCAGCCCATCCCTCTAACTTGATTTTTTTTTTGTCCTCTGAATATTAATTACGCCACCCGATGTTATGCCCTCTACAAATTTGATAAGGGATCCCTCTATGTTCTCATCCAATGAAAATGTTAAAAATTACAAGCTCCAGTTCTGGACTATGTGTCAACTCACTTAAGACCTGTCTACAATTTGATGAAGAGCTGCTGGTGATTACTCTTTGAGCCAATTGTGTATCCATTATATTATTATGTCCTCCATCCAACAGGTAATTAGCTTTTAAATCAGCCTCAAATAAAAAAAAACTATAAAGAACTAAGACCACCTCTATATGTTTATCTCTGTGTGCATATACTTTATTGTAACTAATTTAATAGACATAGTTTATTGTCAGGTTGCTCTATGGAAGATGTCTCACACAACCCCTGCATTCTAATGCAGTATGATCTCCTGAAATCTGTAACTGTTTTTTGATGGTAAAACCTAACTCATTACAATGGTAATAAGAACATCATTGGATGACCTGAAGTACCAGGTTAGGGGCAATTCATCATGGGGAAACTCTATGTACACTGAGAGTCAATACTGATTTGATGGTATGTAATCATACTATGTAATCATCCTATGGTGCTGGAGAAGACTCCTGCGAGTCCCCTGGACTGCAAGGCGATCAAACCGGTCAGTCCTAGAGGAGATCAACCCTGACCGCTCTTTAGAAGGACAGATCCTGAAGTTGAACCTCAAGTACTTGGGCCACCTAATGAGAAGGAAGGACTCACTGGAGAAGGGCCTAATGCTGGGAAAGATTGAGGGCAATAGAAGAAGGGGACGACAGAGAATGCGGTGGCTGGATGGAGTCACTGAAGCAGTAGGCGTGAGCTTAAATTGACTCCAGAAGATGGTAGAGGACAGGAAGGCCTGGAGGAATGTTGTCCATGGGGTCACGATGGATCGGACACGACTTCGCAACTAACAATAACAATCAATGAATCAATCAACCAAAAGTCTGCGCATGTACATCAGCCCTACCAAAGCAAAAGAATAACTTACTAATGTCCTGTTTGCCTCTACTCGGCTAAGTTCAGGAATGGAATTCTTCGCGTAGATTGAAATTGTCACTTCACGTCCAGTTTGATGCCAATCGTGTCTACAGGGGACCACCTTCTTCCCCTTAAAGTTGAGCAGACAAACATGGTTAATTTTCCATTAAAAAAAAAAAACCCTGCTATCTATTTTTCCATTGGAATGAAGATTGCCACTGTCAGGAACAGAAGCTTTCCCTAAAAACTAGTATGGGAACATTTATGCAAAAGGAAGATTATCCCCAGTTGGCAGGACCTGTGTCTTTAAAAGGAATATGTACTTTTTCCACCCCACCAAATAGGACAAGGCACAGAAATACATTTTTTCATTTATGTTTTCCTAAGGTAATGAAAGGTAGGCCCAAACCTCCTAGAACTTCATAAGTCCCCACTGCTTTGTCTCCTATCCACTTGCACAATCTACTCCAGCAAGTTCATTGCAAAAGAGACTCTTAACAGTACTGTCATAAAAAAAAATACAGGTAGTCCTCAATTTACAGCCATTTATTTAGTGATCATTTGAAGTTACAGCAGCACTGATAAAAGTACTTACAACTGGTCCTCATGTTTATAACTGTTGCAGCAGACCTGCGGTCACGTAATCAACATTTGGGTGATTGGCCACTGACATGTATTTATAATGGTTGCATATGTCCCGAGGTCCAGAGATCATCATTTGCAACCTTCCCAGATGGCTTCTGACAAACAAGTGGAATTTGTTTAACAATGTGATGTTCACTTAACAACTGCAATGATTCACTTAACAACTATTGCAAAAAGATTGTTAAATTGGATGGGACTAGCTTAACAAAAGAAGTTACGGTCGCAGTTATTGGTCACTAAGTCAAGGACTACTTGTAAAAAGGCTGCTCCACAAATAAAATATATTTCTTCAACAAATATCAATATTTGCGCCCAGGAACTTTATCATGCTCTACCATGCATCAAACCTTAATTATATGGATTCCTTTGATTTTTCTATAGGAGGCCAGATAGTGGTTAGAATGCAATATTGCAGGCAAGCTCTGCCCACAGCCAGCAGTTCGATCCCGTTGACTCAGCCTTCCATCCTTCCAAGGTCAGTAAAATGAGGACCCAGATTGTTGGGGACAATATGCTGACTCTCTAAACTGCTTAGAGAGGGCTGTAAAGCACTATGTGGTATATAAGTCTAGGTGCTACTAGTATCTGCCAGCTCCAGTCATCAGAAAGCTAAACAGGAGCCATGCTGGCTCAGGAATTCTGGGAGTTGAAGTCCACGAGTCATAAAAGAGCCAAGGTTGCCTACCCCTGTCATATACCTTGCTTACTGGAGCTAGACAAGAACAATTAGCAAAGTGGTGGGAAGGGGTTTCTTTCCCATTCTAGCCATTGGTTAATCTACTGGATCAAGTGAGATGGGTAACCCAGTTTTGAGGACACCCTCCTCTCTTGTAGGAAAAAGGGAAATTACATAGAATATATTTTCTGGACAATTCTAAGGAATCTGTATAATTAAGGTTTAATGCTGCGTGGAAGATACAACATACAGTTCTACCTAAGCTTTCCTGTTCTAGGACCCATCAATGTCATTTTCGATGTATTAATTTTTGAGTTATTTATAAAAATGATAAAGATGGGGTAAAAATAAATAAATACTTTTCAAAAATGTGCTGGCAATGTGCTTCAAAAGGACAATTAGAGCTAAACCTTTGGTACAACGGCATTTTTAGAAAAAGAGATTAACCTGTGGAATAAGGCATAGAATAACCTACTACCCACTGCCAGAACAACTCAAAGAAGTATGTTTGTAAAATGTGTTGAATATATAAATCCTTCATTTTGTTCTATATAGAGGATCCTCTAAATACAGGTAGTCTTCAACTTACGACCACAATTGAAACAAACATTTCTGTTGCAAAGTGAAATATTTGTTAAGTGAATTTGTTAAGTGAATTTACGACCTTTCTTGTCATAGTTGTTCAGTGAATCAATGCAGTTGTTAAGTCAGTAACACAGTTGTGAAGTGAATCTGGCTTCCCACTGACTTTGCTTGTTAGAAGGTTGCAAAAGCTGATCACATGACCCTGGGACACTGCAACCCTCATAAATAGAAGTCAGTTGCCTAAATTTTGATCATGTGAACATGGGGATGCTGCAACAGTTGTAAGTGTGAAAAACCGGGCATAAGTCACATTTTTTCAGTGCCATTGTAACTCTGAACGGTCACTAAATGAACTGTTGTAAGCCAAGAACTACCTGTCCTGTTCAAACTATCACTTCTTTCCTGTATATGACATTTTNAAAAGCAAAGCCAAACATATTTAGATTTTTCCAATCAATCCAGTCAAACAATACAGCTGCAACTACTTACGGCATCCTTCTTAATCCATAGATGTGTTCCTGTTGTGCAGCCCTCTTGAGACAAAAAAGTATTAAAATCTGATGTTTTCCTCTTACAACAACTCCAGTACTTCATCCTATATGTTACAAAGAGCAGGGGGGAAAAAAACAAAACACTTCGTAAAATCACATAGCATTATGGCAAGGAATCCAAACATGCTGCTTGGCTATACAAATTTTTAAGAATTAATTAAGCCACACAATACCCACCCTTCGTGGAATATGGGCACACCAGCATGATAAATACACACATCTTCTGTGCTGCTTGGTCCTTCGAATGTCTAGGAAAACGTTAGCAGAAAATAATTCATTAGCCACTGAATTATAGCAGGCTGCATCCCAATATCCCAAAGGTACTTTTTCAAAGGGCAACTGGACTTTGTTTTTATAATAATAATAATAATAATAATAATAATAATAATAATAATAATAATAATAATAATAATAATAATAAAAAAAAACAAAAAAAACAACTTGATAGGTAGACAAAATGCCAAATCCAGTCTGAACATCTGGCTGACTGTGCGATGATCCATAATAATAATAATAATAATAATAATAATAATAATAATAATAATAATAATAATAATAAAGTTGGATGGGACTTTGGAGGTCATCTAGTCCAACCCCCTGCTCAGGCAGGAAACCCTATACCAGTGATGGTGAACCTTTTAGAGACCGAGTGCCCAAATTGCAACCCAAAACCCCCTTATGAATCGTCGGGTGCCAGGTGGGTGTGGCCCATTGGCTGGGTGTGGCCCATTCGGTGGGCGTGGCTGCAGTGGTAACAGCAGACTGGGTGGGACTAAAAAGTTCAATCAATCAATTCCAACTTTGCAAGATCTTTTTTTTCCCCAGGAGAAGTTGAAATTGACTGATTGATTGAACCTTTTTTTTTTTGTACACGGCGGCAGAGGCCTAAAGCGAAAAGGTTTTATAAAACCCAACTGAAGGCCTAGGACTGGGGCGACGGCGCGCGTGCTCACAGAGAGGGCTCTGAGTGCCGCTTCTGGCACCCGTGCCATAGGTTCGCCACCACTGCCCTATATACCATTTCAGACAAATGGCTGTCCAGTCTCTTCTTAAAAACTTCCAGTGTTGGAGCATTCACTGCTTCTGGAGGCAAGTTGTTCCATTGGTTAATTGTTCTAACTGTCAGGAAGTTTCTCCTTAGTTCTAGGTTGCTTCTCTCCTTGGTTAGTTTCCATCCGTTGCTTCTTGTCCTGCCTTCAGGTGCTTTGGAGAATAGCTTGACTCCCTCTTCTTTGGGGCAGCCCCTGAGATATTGGAACACTGCTATCATGTCCCCCCTCATCCTTCTCTTCATTAAACTAGACATACCCAATTCCAGCAGCCTTTCCTTATATGCTTTTTCCTTGAAGACATTTCGCTTCTCTGATTCTGATTGAATCAGAACTGAAGAAGCTTCTCGCATGAGAAGCGAAACGTCTTCAAAGGAGAAACAAAGTCCAGTTGCCTTTTGAAAAAGCACCTTTGGGACCACCGTGACCTGGAGGACTGAGAATCTCCATAGACATTCTGTATCTCAATGCTTCCCAAGCAGGAAGAAGTGATGCAGGTTCATAGCCGTTTTTATTATTTTGCAATTCCAACTGGTCATTAGCTAAGAGAGCCTTGCAATTAGCCAAGTGTCCTCCAGCTGTCTGGAGCAGAAAGAAAGGGGGGGGGAGGGAATGCTTTTCTGTGGCTCTTTTTAAGGGACGTTGGAAAAATATTTAGCTATGCAGATTTGGACCAATATTTCAATTTCAGACTTTGTTTAAAATAATAACATTGTTGGCCTGATTAAGGTGGGTTCAAAAATAAGAAAATGGGTGAAAACTCCCTTTGCTCAGAATCCAAAAATACGCACTTTTATTTTTATATATAAATATATAAATATATAAGGAAGTGGGAACAACAGCGTAACAACTCACAACAAGTGCAATGGGCGCAGCCTACGCAAGACCAGAACCGCTGTCCCATGCAACAGCAAAGAACCATGACCGGCAAAGGGGAGAAATCCCCAGCACGATTCGTACAGGAGCTAATAATGGGAGGCCGGGTGCCACACTCACAACGGGGAGGAGGGGGGTGGCCACAGGACAGGAGGCACTGGGGGACCATCCTATAGCAACGTGTACCCAGATACGTCCAAAGCGGGCAAAGAGAGCGACAACAAGAGAGGCGATGATCCCCGAGCTTACGCGTATACAGACGGATGCGAGACTATTAGAAGCAAGACGGTCAACTGGGGCGGGTAGACCGGTAACGCGTTCTATGAGCAGAGCGCAAAAACTGTCGGTCTTATAAGCAGGCTTTCGAACCGCCGGCATTCCACTCTGACGACGTCGGCAGTTAGCCGACGAAAGCTAAGTTTATCGAACAGTTGCTAGTTTATTAAACAGTTGTTTTTATTTTTATCCTGGTGTTCGACTATTTTTCTCAACATGAATGTACCCGGGATTCGCATTTTTAGTATAATTAGACTATATATATATATACACACATATTCAAAGTCAGTCAATAGACGTGAGCACCAGGGAATAAATAATTTAATAATAATAATTTAGAGATAAAAGTTCTTAAGAATATTAAAAACCTTTAAAATACATAGAAATCAATAAAAGTGCCTAGCTTTCGTCGGCATCCGCTGACATCTTCAGGGCTTAGAATGCTGGTCAATGGGAAAGTCCCTTTATAGGTTTAAT